CTTTTGAGACACGTAGAAGTTGCAAAGCCCGAATGAAGCGAAGGATTACGAAGAGGTTGGCATCGAAACAGCAGAAGGCCCGCAGCTTCCTTCTCTCTCTCTCTCTCACGTTTGCCATGGTGTGCTGTATGCCGATGAATCTTGCGCGAGTACTTCCGCGCCAAGCCCGCTCTTCATCTTGAGGTGAAGGCGAAGAGGAGGGCTACGGAGACGAATTCTGAGGCTGCCGGCCGAAGGGCATGGAGAAGAGGTTCTTGGTACCGTCTTGGTACGATGTTGGCAGATGATTGACCTCGGCAGTGTTTTTAACATTGGGGTACGACAATAACATGAAAGTTTCGAGAACCCTGCCTGCTTCAGCTGTGCGTGCTGCCGGAGTGCTTGGCAAGAGAACTGCGTCTTGTCATCTGCGACGGTGGAGTTCACGATTTGGTGAATAAAAAGGACAGAGCCGTCTGAGTCTTTGAGTGTTGGGCAGCTTTGCCCTGGGTATTACTCGCACAGTGTGTGCCGTGGCCCTTTAGCTGAGGCTTTGGATGGGAGGCTGGAGTCGCTGACATCGATAGTCCGCACGATCATGTCTGCGTGTTGGCTCTCTGACCTTGGCAGCGCTGTCCGAAAGCTGATGATCTCGGTAGCGGCTCAAGTCAAGTCTCGGGTATCGAAGCCTGGGTCCATCATGACTTGTGCACGTTAAAGTCATGGCCTTATTTGAGCTTTTCCAGAGTCGTGCCAGAACGGAGTTACCAGGTCCGGCCGTCGTCTGCCGTCCTGTGCAGCTGCACGAGGACGCGACATGCTCGGTTGCCTTGAGGCATTACGCTCAGTTCGGAACCTCAGCCTCTCCGTTCTTATGCGCGTTTCGCAGGACTGGAACTTTCATCCATATTTGAACGGCGGTCTTCCATGCTTCGGAGGTCGCGCAATCCGCTCGGGCAGTTGGTGAGTTTCGCGCCGGGTTTTTGGTTTTTTGTTGTCCGATCCCCGGCCCTGCCAGGCCGTTTTGGTGCATCTGTGAGTTCATTGTGGCACTTGCTTGGAGAGATGCGGCACCAGACTTCCTCTCGCTTGATCGGCCGAGTCCCAGTGCCATAGTGGCACTGAAGACCCGGGGTGGTATTGCGGCTGCCCTACAAAGAAACAGACCCGAGGCCTCACGCCGGACTCGTTGATAGCCAAAGCAGAGGCCCAGCGAGCTGTGATGAGCTGCGATCCAGGCTGCTCTCTGATGTGCTTGCGCTTTCGAGGCAAGCTCCGGAGCTGCGAACCAGAGTGCGAATGAGAGCTACGTCACGCCCGAGGCGTTGCTAAGCGTGCTTCGGGAGGCTGGACAATTTGTGCACTGCCGAAGCACAAGCCATTTATGTCGCATGTTGTGATGACGATTGCGGCTCTCCTCAGCATTGCAGGAGCACAAGAAGAACAGAAGATTACGGAAAAGGCTGTATAGGATGATGCATCGAGAAAGCGAGAATTTCTCCGAAACTGTCACCGCAGCTCGATCGATGCAGCGAGAACCTTGTCTTAAGTGTTATTCGGATGCTTGCGACCCTTTGTATGAGTTGCAGCCCGCTAGCAAGATCTGTTGCAGACTTCTGCAAGGACCTCTCCAGCTACCTCCAGAACCTCACCCACCAGGATACCAAAGTTTGATCAAGTTGAAGGATGCCTTCGGCCCACACCCCCTTAAAGGCCCTAAAGTCCCGTCTCCCTGTAGACCTGACAGAACCCGGAAGCCCAGGGGCCCAGAGCATCCCAGAGCCTGAAACCCTCAACTTGTAAAAACCCTTGGTCATGCCCTGTCAACTCCGAGACTCTGAACCCCTGGATGTCCTAAACCCAAAGCTGGAAGGCTTGGAGGAAGAGCGCGAAGACGCACAGATCCACGTCAAACTTGGAGCGGAGCTCCTTCGACAGGCGTGAAGAAACAGCAACGAGTGTGTTTTCATGCTGTCCGGTGGGGAGCGGGCTTGGACTCGAGCAGTTTTGGATAACGTGGGACGGCGAGTTTGAGACGCTGTAGGGTCTTGGCGCCGTCTGAAGCTCGGAAGCTCCTAGATGGGACATGTCTGAGTACGCAGGCCGCAGGGAGAGATCTCAGAAGAGGGGCTTGGAGTTGGAGTAAAATGCAGGCATCTGCCGTGGGCTCGAGGAGATGTTATTTGGCCCGAACACATAACAATCTAAACCACCAGTAACACATGTTGTAGGCCCTCGATCGATTATCCCCCGTCCCTCCCGGAGCAAGGATTGTAGTAGTGGTTAGTGGTACGTATATTAACCAAGACACTTTCTTCATCAGGGGTTTCCGAAGCAATTTGAGGGGCCCGTCACGCCTGTCAAGTTCTAAGCGCAGGTCTGCAGAGCAGACGCCCGAGGAGGCCCACCGGTTGAGACCCTTTCAGGTTTTCCGTGTTCCGAGATTGCTTTTCGAAGGTTGCTGTTCTTGTTGAAGTCGGGTTCATATTAGCGATTTTGGTGAGTGTATAAAGCACGTCTGGGGAATGCTTGCGAGAGTGTGTGTTGGTTCTTATTTTGGGTATGTTAGTAAGATAGTAAAAATCCTACTTGACATACTCGTAGGGCCTTCAAATGCTGGATCCTTACCAAAGACACCGAACTACGGTCCCCTAATCCCACCGTTGTGCCGTGCAGGATTCGCTGACATTTCCGGACTATGTGGCTTGGCGCACAAGAGCCTGAGGGTGACTTAAGGCAACTTGGGGACTGCGTAGTCCTTGGCGTTGCCTTTGAAAGGAAACAGAGCTGGAGACAAACATGGAGCTGCGAAATCGACTCGCGCAGCTGGAGAGCTACTTCGATGCCCGGCGCTCAGCGAAGCTCCACATCAGCATAAACTTCGCATGCGTCAGAGCATGTGTGAGGTCCAGGCAGACCAGTGGAAACATGCCCTCTCTGCCACCTCTGAACACGCAACTCAGAAATCCCGATCTGGAGAAACCACAGTGCCAGGGCAAGAGACCTCCCCGAGCCAGGCTGCAGAAGGTGCTGAGACCACCCTGCAGTCAGAGCAGCCTCTGCAGTACAGTGCCGGCACCTCCACTACCACTGTATCAGAAGATGCTGACACCACGTCAGAGCAGACTCGGCAGTCCGGCGCTGGCACCACCACTACCACTGTATCGTCTGACGAAACGCAGCGGCTGCAGTCAGGAAGCCAGACTACAGAGAATGCTGAGACCATATCAGAGCAGACTCGGCAGTCCGGCGCAGGCACCACCACTACCACTGTATCGTCTGACGAAACGCAGGGGCCACAGTCAGGAAGCCAGACTACAGAGAATGCTG